ACAAGAGATGTCTATTCCAATGAGAGATAAGACTCATATGCCTAGAAGTGATGTATATAGTGGAGTACTATTCAACTACAGAGAACTGAGAAATTGTTAAGTGAATGTAATTAGTAATATTGTTAAGTGAATGTAATTAGTAATATTGTTATTACTAGTTAGTCATGGTAAATATAGGTCATTAACTTTGTAATTTATCTCTATATATGTGGACTACTTGTAATTGAAACGGGAATGAAAATCAAACGAATAAGGGTCTCCAAATTTTGTCATGGCACCAGAGCAGGTGTGTTAGCCGTCGTTGCCTCGATTGTTTTTTTTTTTTTTCATCTCTTTTACCTTGGTCGATGTCGACCAACGGTGAGAAACTATTTTGTTAGTCTTTGGTGGAGTTCTCTTTCGGGGTTTCCGTTGAATTTTTTTTTGGGTGGTGGCTGACTGTCGCGACGGTTTGCGGAGCAAGCCCTTGTTTTTGGCGGAATTTTTCTTGGCAAAGCAATTGATATTTGGCTCCATTACTTGGCTGTCTTTGACCATACTTTAGTGGTTAATTTTGAATTCAGTTTGGTTGATTTTGACCTACTGTTTTGGTTCATTTTGCGAGTTCGGTTTGGTGGCTCTCGCCTACTTCCAAAATTTTTTTATTATTTTGATTACTTTGATTTGAGAGTTTGTTTTGGTGGGTTTCGGCTGAAAATTGGTGGCTGGTTTGGCTTCAACCCTCTTTGGTGATTCTCGGCAGATTATTTTGTTTTCAGTCTTTGGATTATTTTGAAAGAAAAATAAAATTTTGTTGTGTGAAATGGATGCAATGAATGCTCCTAATGGATTTGATTTTAGCGGGACTCTCTCTTGTGGAGCTGTTACTTCAGGGACTGCTATTACATGCTTGAGTCAAGAAAGGTGGAGTAATTTGGTGAGTTTATTACATTCGGCAAGATCAGTGGAAACCGGCAGATTTAGTAGTCATAATTTTCCAAATGATTGGATGTTTGATTGTGGTCCAACTCACCACATGACTGGTTTTTCAATTATTTGACCAATGTCAGTGAAATTGAACCTCGTCCGGTGTGACTACCACATGGGACGTTGACAATGGCTACTCAAACTGGCACTGTACATCTCAGCCGGCGTGTGATTCTGTCGAATGTTTTATATGTTCCTACTTTATTGTGTAGCTTAATTTCCTTGTATCAACTGTTGGGAGACTTGGGTTGTGATGCTTAGTTTACTCATCAGTCTTGTGTTGTACAGGACCTTCGTTCGAGGATGGTGATTGGATCAAGTGAACAACAGTGGGGGGCTTTATTTCTTTTGGAGCATTGTTGAGGCAGTGGCCGCGCCAGTGCAAGTTGAAGGATCGTTGGACCTGTGGCACAAACGGTTAGGTCATCTGTCTTTTAAGGTGGTTGAGAAATTGTGTCGTGTTAATCCTAGTGATTCTGGTGATATTTCCAACAAAGTATGTGATATTTGTTTGCGTGCAAAGCATAATAGAGATAGTTTTCCGATAAGTGAAAATAAAACTGTTGAGCCTTTTCAGTTGATTCATTGTGATTTGTGGGGTCCTTACAGTTTTCCTGCTTCCTGTGGAACACGATATTTTTTTACCATTGTGGATGATTTTTCTAGAGCAACTTGGATTTATTTACTCCCTGATAAGACTGTTGTTTCTGTCACTTTGCGTAATGTTTTTGCCCTGGTGAAACGTCAATTTGATAAGTTGGTCAAGATTGTTCGAAGTGACAATGGTTTTGAGTTCCTTTGTTTGGATGCTTGCATGGCATCATTCATGAAACCTCTTGTGTTGGTACTCCACAGCAAAATGGACGTGTTGAACGTAAGCATCGGCACATTCTTAATGTTGCATGTGTTTTACATTTTCAAGCCAATTTGCCTATTGAATTTTGGGGTCATTGTGTTTTGACTGCTGGTTATTTGATTAATCGTACTCCTACTACTATTTTGCATGGTCGAACACCATATGAGGTGCTCTTTGGTAAATCTTCAAGTTTTACTCATTTGAGGGTTTTTGGTTGTTTATGTTATGTCCATAATTAAGATCGGAGAGAAGACAAGTTTGCTCCTCGTAGTAGGAAATGTGTTTTTCTGGGATATCCATTTGGAAAAAAAGGATGGTCTGTCTATGATCTTGACTCGAAGACTTTTCTTGTATCTCGTGATGTCAGATTTTGTGAGTCTGAATTTCCTTATATGTAGTCGAGTTTAAGTGAACTGAAAGATATTTCTAAAAATCATTTAGGGAGTTGGCCTGTCATTAAGGAGGATGATGATGATGAGATTGTTCGTTCGGTTTCTCCGAAGGAACAACACTTAGATCCATTTTCCTCTAATCCAGTTCCATCTTCTGATTTTGGTGGTACTGACGTCAGGGGGGGCTCCCCTACATCGGCTCCTATAGCTTTTGAAGAATTATTGGGACGTGGCCATTGTTCTAAGGTTCCATCCACTCGCCTGCGTGACTTTATTCATCACACAATTCGCGCCCATGCTAGTTCATCTGGTTCATTGTCGTCCTCAAGTACGCCTTATCCTATAGCTCAATATATTAATTGTAATTCTTTCTCATCAGCACCAGATTTTTTTGGCAGCTGTGTCTACCCATAATGAGCCTAATACTTTTGCTGAGGCTGTAGCGAATGAACATTGGCGTGCTTCCATGCAACTTGAGATACAAGCTCTTGAGAATAATAACACTTGGAGTATTGTCCAACTTCCTCCTGGAAAGAAGGTTATTGGTTGTAAGTGGGTGTATAAAATTAAACACAAGTCCGATGGTTCCATTGAGAGGTATAAAGCTCGCTTGGTTATACTTGGCAATAACCAAGTTGAGGGTATTGATTACAAGGAGACGTTTGCATCTGTTGCAAAGATGGTTACTGTTTGTACTCTTCTGGCTGTAGCTGCTGCAAAAAATTGGGAGTTTCATCAAATGGATGTGCATAATGCTTTTCTTCATGGCGATCTTGATGAGGAAGTCTACATGAAATTACCCCCTGGTTTTCGCTCCAGCTCTTCTGGTCAGGTATGTCGCCTGAAACGCTCACTTTATGGGCTAAAGCAAGCTCCTCGTTGTTGGTTTGCTAAGTTAGCTAGTGCTTTGAAGCGATATGGATTTCGCCAGTCCTACTCTGATTATTCTTTATTTACATTTCATCGTGCTTCTGTCCAACTGAACGTGTTGATCTACGTTGATGGCCTTGTAATTTCTGAGAATGATTCTTCCGCTGTGTCTGCTTTTAAGAATTATTTGAGTAATTGTTTTCACATGAAAGATCTCGGTGCTCTCAAATATTTTCTTGGTATTGAAGTTGCTCGTAATAGTTATAGAATTTTTCTCTATCAACAGAAATATGCTTTAGACATTATTTCAGAGGTTGGTTTGTTGGGTGCCAAACCAGCTGGGTCACCTTTAGATCAAAATCATCAGCTTCCGCTTGCTGCTGGCGATCCGCTTTCTGATCCTGAGCGGTATCGTCATTTAGTTGGTCGCTTAATCTATCTGGCAGTTACACGCCCCGAGCTTTCTTATTCTGTCCACATGCTTGCTCAGTTTATGCAGAAACCTGTGCAAGTGCATTGGGATGCTGCTCTTCGTGTTGTTCGATATTTGAAAGGAAATCCGGGTTAGGGTATTTTGTTGCAGGCTGACTCTGACTTGCGACTCTATGGTTGGTGTGATGCTGATTGGACCGGCTGTCCATTGACACGTCGGTCTCTTTCTAGTTGGTTCATTCAGTTGGGTAATTCTCTTATTTCTTGGAAGACTAAGAAACAACATACTGTCGCTCGTTCTTCTGCTGAAACTGAATATCGCTCTATGGCTTCTATTATTTGTGAGTTGATCTGGTTGAAGTCTTTGTTATTATGTCTGGGTGTTTCTCATTCTCAGCCTATTCAGCTTTATTGCGACAGTTAAGCAGCTCTTCTTATTGCTGCTAAACCTGTTTTTCATGAGCGAATGAAGCACATTGAAGTTGATTGTCATTTTTTGCGTGACGAATTTCTTAAGGGCACTATTTCTCCCAGTTTTGTGTCTACCCGTGTGCAGCTAGCTGACATTCTCACTAAAGCATTGGGAAAGCGTGAGTTTGATTTCTTTCTTGGCAAGTTTGGTATTCGAAATCCGCATGCTCCAACTTGAGGGGGTGTTAAGTGAATGTAATTAGTAATATTGTTATTACTAGTTAGTCATGGTAAATATAGATCAGGTAACTTTGTAATTTATCTCTATATATTTGGACTACTTGTAATTGATAGGGGAATGAAAATCAAACGAATAAGGGTTTCCAAATTTTGTCAGAAATTCACCTGCATTGCAGAAATGAATCAGCCAGAGAGAAAGGATCTCTTTTCATTGGCAGAGAAATCATCGACAAAGACAATTAAGCCCTAACCATACTATGTGGAGTTGGTTATGTGAACCATATCCTGTCGTAAAGAAGTTATCATCTACTTCCAATTTGATACAAACACACTAGACAGTATTCAATTTTGATCGATATCAGGCTCGAATTGGAAAAACAGCTACAAGAACATCAAGTTCGTTTACAATAAAATTTCTCTATTTTTTTACAGGGAGTGGGCTGAGGACAGGGGAATCAAACTTGGTTCAGGAAACTGTTCCAGGTTCTGCCAGTGTCATAATAATAATTTTACAGTTGTGAAAGTTTTCGACTAATGGGAATCATCAAGAACCTCGGATTGAATGAATGATCAGGATGCTAAAAAGTTGAGAGAACAAATTAGGGCCAATAGCTTGGTGAGGAATGTGGAGATCAAGACAGCGAGTTGAATCGAATCGGGGTGGCTGTTTGTGTTTTTCCCCCAAGAAAAAACCAAATCGATTCTTGTATTAAATAGTTAGTTGTTTCATCACATGTCAAGATAATTCTTTGTTGTCTTGGACCATATTTTCCCCCAATCAGGAACCCAAAACACAGTTTCAGCTCTTGATTGAGGAAATTTTTGACCTTCATGAAGGAAAATCCACCCTTCTAAATTCTAATCATGATCACCACTAATAATTTATATTAAGTAAAGATTGTGAATGAAAGGAGGGGGAAATAAAAAAGAGTCTTGTACAAGGACTGATTAAGATGTGCCACAATCTGTGATTAGCAGCAACCAGCCCAGTCTACTCCTAAAGACATCGTTACTGTGTGACAAAAATTTGTTAGTTTGATTCAAATAGGACAATCAGTTCGGATAGAAAGAGTATTCATTATGTTGGACTGAACGGAATATTAATGGGGTGACTACGGAGTATTAAGAAAGCTGAGTAGATAATGCTTCAAAATGACACTCTTTCCGTGGTGAATCCATTATCAGCCTGCAAAAAGTTGCAGAGTCTTTACATAATATTATTGCAATGGAAAAGGGTGCATCCCTGAAATAAAAAAGTACAGCAGAAGTCACTAAGAAGACAAGCATACAAACATTCAAACAAATGAAAAAAACTGACAATCCTAATGGAAAGAACTAGTCTGCCCCTCTTGAAGTAAACACTATTGAATTGCAGGCCGCCAACGCAAAACTATTCAATTCCCATGTGGAATTTCTGATACTACAATGTTACCCATCCCCCTCCTTTTTCACTTATAGATCTGGTGGTCCAGAAGCATTTCAAAAAGTTGTCCGGGTGTGATATACATTAGGATATATTTGGAGCTCACTGATCAAAAGTTGTCTCATAATGCCAATATTGTTTTCACGAAACAAACTAGATATTGAGTTATAATTTTCTGATGCCGTCTTCATGCTATGCATGAATAAAACAATCATGTTTTTCAATTAACAAGGGTGGCTAAAGAAACAGGATAGCTGCAAGCCACAATGTTCCTATGATTCACCCCAACAATCTAGATATATCGGGAGTCGCAGGCATTCATTCAAGGGCTGATAGCCAAGAAGAATTCCATCTTTAACATTCCAATAATAACTTTGAATGAGTTTTTTTATGTTGTGTACTCTAGGTAAAGAGAAGCAGTATCCAGATTCCGATATTGAATGACAAGCAAGAACTAAATCAAGGGGCAAATAGGGCAGCAGTGCCATCCAACAAATTCCTTGAGTAACGAAAGAGAAATCTATTCCCATTAGAGATGCTCAAATGCCAAGAGTTGCTGAAGTGGAATACAATTTAACTACGGAGATCTGTGAAATTCACATGCATTGCAGATATGAATTGGCCAGATATAAAGATCTCATAAAGGTTAGCAGAGAAATCATCCACAAAGACAATTAAGCTCTTATTGTATTATGCGGAGTTGGTTCTGTGAATCATATCCTGTCACAATACATGTTTCAAGAAGTTATTCTCTAATTCAAATTTGAGACAAACACTATTCAATTCGATGGGAAAAAAAATAAAAAGCTATACAGGCTACAACAATTACCAAGATAAAGAATAGAGGATTTTTCCATTTCAATGAACCCCAACTTTGGCTGGTACATATATAAACCTTTCCAGACAAAGAACTATAAGGATTGTAAGGAAGGCTGGCATTGAAATAGAACAAAGAGAAAGTAAACCTTGGCAAGTGAACAAGGCTTTCCCAAAAATACAAAACAAAACCACCCACCATTAAGCTGTCAGCATAATAGCAAAAAATTAAGGCATAATTTCAAGCCTCGGTTCAAAACAAAAACCAGTGAATAGCTGAAGAGGGAACCTTTTTGTGACAGGGCATTTCTGAGCCCATCTCCAATGCTTGCTGTTCACATCAAAAACGAGAAGAGAAGGGGCACCATAGCTCTGTATGTATATGAGGTCGTCGGTCCCGCTGCTGGCAAAAACATCATCAAGCTCGCCAAAACCTTGAAAGAATTTATGAGGCATACGAGCAATCTCTTGCCAACCCTTCCCTTCGAGCGCCCATATGCCAATTCCCTTAATAATATCTGAACGGTCCTGTTTCCCAATCCCACCAACCATGATCAGCTTTTCCTTAAGGTTCATGAGACGGCCACATGTAAGTGAACAAGGAGCAGGGATAAAACTCCTCATAAGCAAACCATGAGATGATCTGCTAAGGAGGTTATAAGTTACTAACCCGTGTCGACATTCAGGGGCCCCACCTCCAGTGGAGTAAATCAAAAAGTACAAAACACCGTCACAGATCACGCTCTCATCGCCTCCTCTCCATCCTGTCAAGACCTCTTTCACTGGGGTAGACCACATCATTGTATCTGAATGATAGATATGGATCGATAGATCCCACTGGACAAAGTTTCCTGGCACTTGCTTAGACTTAACAATTGAAACACAGTAACTATGCAAAACACGGTTCATTGAAATAGCCAGTGCACTATAATCCGAGAATTTCAATCCAGGAGGCTCTTGAAGCCTCCTACATTGCTTGGTTATAGGATTACAGACATATACTTCACTTCTACTGTCGTTGTCCATGAAACATACTAATCCACTCGATGAAGCAATGAACCAATTAGATGTCTCAATGTAGGGAAGTTCTATGCCATACCACTTCCGAAGAATCGGATCAAAAGCATATCCAACAGGTTCATCGGAGCTTGTGAACATGAAATACCATGGCTTTTGTGTCAGGACTTGTGACAAGTTCCATACAAACCTTCTTGAACTCACTATCTCGTTCCATCTTCTACACACACATCCTGCCCTGAAAATGCTAGCAATCGGTAGATACGATAATATTCGCTCCAACAGATCATCAGGGAGAATCAAGTCCAAGGAAACTGTTGCAGCTTCCTTATTACCATCATCGGTTGTCTCAGAAAACGAGTCCAGTTCTATTCCTTGTTCAATCTTATTGAAGCAATGACTAACCCATGATGTTTCCCTTTCCATGAAGGGCAGTTATCTCAAACCTGCTAGAAAAACCCCAAAAACAAAGGTATAACAAACATTACTTTAAAATTTAGATGCAAGTACAAAGTAACTAGTCCGTCAAGGTCTACTTAATCTGATCTAAAGTTCAGAGAAAAAAAAAAGGAATGGAAGACGTGCATTATTTAGTCATTATAATAAGGTGGTTCAACCTATTGCAATCAAGAAAGATCTGTAATCCCATCCCTCCTGAATCCAGAAGGCAGCAAACAATGTCCCCCCTCCTTACCCATACAAAAAGATAAACTCAAATGACCTCCAGAACCTGATGAAAAAATAATCCAACAGAAATAAAAAGAACAGCAGGATTCAACTAGAAGTTCTATAAACTCACAGAGCAAGAACTACGGTGAAAATTGGCAGATGAGATGAATATTTATTCTCAACACAAATTTGGAGAGAAAAGATTCAGACTTAAGCCATGTAACCACATGTCAGTCTCAAACAGGATAACTGATAACTGCTAAAGTGTATTAATAGCCCTTTTCGATTGAAGACTCCACCTCAATGGAACCAGAGTGCTATACGTTGCAAAAATTAGAGGAAAATGCAAATAAAACATTTGTCAAAAGGGATTTTCCAATACATGTATACTTGTCCGAAGAACAACACAACATAATGCATCAGCATATAGCATCTCCACACAAACGCAACCTTACAATCAACAAATAAAAAAAGGGAAGAAAGAAAGAGAAAACCTCAATCTCCTCACCCCCTCCCTCTTTTTTTTCTTCCACAAATACATGACACCACTTGCACATAATGGACACATCAAAACCATCCCATCTGAATAAAGAATGAATAAAGTACAAAATGTTAGGTAAAAGACACAATTCAACAGCATTGGAAAGAAGCCGTGAATAGTTATCATTTCTTCAATCATAAAATTACGAAACAGCAGCAAAACGAGAATCAATGGACAGCCCCCATCAGACAAAATTGTTGAGGAAAGATCTGTTCAATGCCCAGAATTCCCTTAAAAAAAAAAAAAAATCGCACCTTGGGTAACCCAACACCATAAAATTCCAAAGAACCCTCCTCGTTTCTACATCCAATGAGCTAAAGGGTCAATCCCAGATTGCTAAAAATCCCCAAGATTCAGCTCAAAACAAACATGGGAACACACAATGGAGCTTCTAAAAGAAAAGTCTTGTAGGTAAGACACAAAAAAAAAAAAAAAAGGCAGATAGAAATGTAATAAGATGGGAAGATAGTAAGTGAAGAACAGTTCAAAAACCACTTCTTTCACTAATTTAATGGATGGATTTCAGGCAGAGGATTTGGACATTACTGAATAACAAAAGACGTGCGTTACAACAAAGGGGAAAAAAAGAGAGAAGCATGAAGAGAGAGTGACAGGTTTTTTTGGTGTTTGAGTTAGTTTGGTTGTTTTGGGATTACCTTGACGAGTTCTCTCCTTCCTTTCCTTTCCTTCCCCTGAATTGATGCCACCAAAAACGACAGGCGGAGTTTGGAGGAAGAAATCTGGAAATTTAGAGCAATTTTTGGAATGGAGGAAAGATGGATGTGTGGGGTGGTGGGGGCTTTTTTATATACAGGGGCTTTGTCAATTTCTAAGCACCATATAATATTGCTAAATAATGCTAGTTTATTACAAAATAATAAAATTATAAATTAGTACTATTCTTATTGTCCAAAAATGATTTTTATATACTCATTTTATAATGGATGATTTTTATTTTTATTTTTTGTTAATAATTGTGTAAACAGGGTCTCGTACTCTCGTTTATTTGGGAAGAAATGTATTTCCAATTACTTGAGAAGAGACAGAAGATAAATGATGATTTTGAAGACCATGAAGATTTTGATGTGATTTATTTGTGGGGAAAAAAATTAAAGAAAAAAAAAAGAAGAACGAAAACAAGAAAAAACCATTGGCAATTTTTGGCCATATTCAAAAAGGATATAATGCTGTCTTACTCATCAAACGGAGCTTTCAAATGATTTTATACTTTTATCATTCTATTCTGATTTTTCACTTATTATTAAAATATAATAAAGGGCTTTTTTGAGCCTCTGGGTTTTAATAAATGGAAAAACAAAAATCTCTCCTTTAAAGCAAAAAAAAAAAAAACAAAACAAATCCTCTCATTTTTTGCTAGCTCAAAATTTTAGGAAATGAATAAAATAAAAATATATATAAATTTATGAATTGCAAAATAATACACTAAAATACAATATACAAGACAGACATTTTTGGCAATAAGAAACCAACTTGTTACCCCGGGAGAACTAATGCCAAAACAGACAACACCTATTACTTCCTTCGTCCCCAAAATAAAATATCGGGACCAAAGACAATAAGCATCAAATGAAACAATTATTTTGGAACCAATTATATATTTAAATAAAAAAGAATTGAGTGTTGCCAACCTGTTTAGCATAATTAATACTACAAAATAGACACAAAGATAGCCTAAGGAGCAAGGAGGAAGCCCATTGTTGCAGTTCTGGATTAGGACGATTAACTCGACACAAGGAATTTTCTGTATGATGGCTTCAATCAATAGGACAATATGTACATCTGATTAGTCCTTTAAAATGTACATCAATTAAAATAAGAATAAGGAAACTATTACGGTTTTTTTTTCTTCAATTTCACATTTACATCTTCGTAAGTTCTAACAATAGACATAATCAATTGAGCCATGGTAAAAACATGCTACAAACATAAAAAGAAATAACTTTATAAGAACGAACATTTACAAATAAAGTTATCATTCTTTCACTCGGTTGTATTCCAGGTGATGAAGTGATAATATAGTTACTTTATTTGCATTTTACATTGTATGGGATCAGATTATTTATCGTATTCGTTCTTCTGTTACTATATAATTTCATTGAAGAAATTGATTATTCTTCAGATCAATTTATGTTGGTCGACTTAATCAAATTGCAGAAACTTCATCATGTAAAATTGATTAATTCTCAATTAACGTTTCAGTTAGGTACTCCCTCCATTCCAAAATAAGTGTCATTCTACATTTTGCACATAGTTTAAAAAACTCTTAAAAGGGTAATAAAATTACTTGAATATCCTCAACCAACCCCATTATAAAATTGTCCACCAATAGCATCAACTCTTTTGAGGGTAATTTTAGAAACTTCTGACAAAAAGTGTATTGAAATTTGAGAACGACACTTATTTTGGAATTTTTTCATTTTGCTAAAACGACACTTATTTTGAAATGGAGGGAGTATTTGCTACCCTCCTCGGTTATCCTAAAAATTTATTGTTAAAGCTATTTGAAAAAGGAATAAGTAATTTTTTCAATTAAAGAAGACACGGAAAAGATTGTGGCACAAAAATTATTTACTGGGGAGTGAGAGACATGGAGTAATGGGGGGTCCACGGCGTTGTTGGTTAAAAGCATTTCGTCCAATAGGGCTGCTTTACCTAACTTTTATTTATACTATATGAATTTTTTTTCGTAATTAAGTTTGGACTTTTGTAAAGTCCGGCAACTACACATTTTTAAATTCTTTGACGTGTCACATTTAATAAAGATATAGTATATATTTCCCTCGGCGAAATAGACTCTTTTTTTTGGGACTTAATATTTTTTTTTTAAGAAAAAAAGGGTGTGTAATAAGGGATAAAAGCACTTAACTAAGAAACAAACATAACTTAATTAGCAAGCAAATGCTATACCGTAAAAGAAATCGTTTTATGTGACAAATTAAACGCATGCAGCAGTTACAATTATCAATGTTTAGGGAGTGGTGTAATTAATTAAACTGTTTGTATCCCTTTTTCTTTTTTTTTTGTAGAGATTGGGTTAATATAAGAGTCCTGCTGAAATTGTATACTTTGATGTCAAACTTTTCATATGCTGTGGAGATTAATTCGATGATTTCATATTATACGTTCTGGATTAAATTTTTTAAAACATTATATATGCAGAACGGAGTAAGGAACTGTCATTTGTTAAATTGAAACTGAAAATTTCATGACTAAAAGACTATAAAGATTGATGGGTGATGTAGAAATTTATTTAGATACATAAAATGTACTTCTTTTCGATTTTTTTAAGTTTAATTTCTATTAAGATTTTGAGACGGAAAGAGTAACATTATATATTGATGGGCAGGTGAGAAATGAGAATTACGAGTACGTACGTATGGTTTTGGGAATATGCCATGCCATTGAAGACTCCAATTCTCACAAGAAATTTCTCGATTGAGTGCTACAAAGATCGATTCAAGCGCCATCTTAAGTTATTGATACCATGCATCATGCATGTATTTGGATTTTTTTTTTTTCCAAAAAAAACTCTTGCCTATTGTTTGCCAAGTATATATCAAGATTTATAAACAATTTGCGTATTGAACTTATCATGAATGACCTATATATATATATGTATATATATATATATATATCAACTTTTTTTCTTCATCTACTTAACAATAAACTTTTCCACGACTTTTAATTTATTTATGATGGAAAAAACATTTGCAACTAAATCATTTCGATGGGCATGCAGGAGATGATACAGAAATAGATGATGACAAATAAAAGCGAGTTCAAGCTCAACCTTAAAATGTAATGTCTACGCAACGCAACATTATGCTTTCCTTCACATTTCTTTTTCTCCTTCTTGTGTTTTTTGATTAATTGAATACCTTTTGAGCTGTTTTTTTTTCCCCCTTTCCTTGAAGGGAGGTAATTAGTGAGAAGGAAGTAAACCTTCATGGGAAGTAAGAAGCAAAAGGAATGAATACAGCATACAATTCCTTCCTCACAATTTTGGACCCCTGTCTATTTAATTTTTATAATGTTTTTCTCGTTCTATTTTAATAGCTTTTCTTTCTTCTTTTTTTTTTAAAAAAAAATGCAACATGAACAATGAGAGGAGTTCAATAGTTTTGACTCTAATTTGGAACATAGGGAGTACAATCAATGTTATAACTAACCGGCTGGGTAGAATATGCTATCAACACATATAATTAAGAATTCCAAAATACTTTAAAAAAGAATTTATTATAGTTTTATTATGCTTTTCGTAGTGCATAATATATTCATAACACGACAATTTGGCACCAATTTTGGTCTAATCAGTTAAAAGGCATTTATTTAAAGGCAAAATATTATAATTTTATCACCCGCAGAATTTTTTTTGTTGGTAGCTAGTTTCATATGTGTGTAACCACTACACGCATCAATATTTAGCCATATTCTTCTGTTTTTCATGCTCCAAATGTATTTTATTGAGGAAATAATACCGTCAGCTCTATAATATAATCAGAATTTTAAAGTAATGTAATTTAGGGCGAGGTATTATATTTTTGAACAAAACTATCTTTCACTAGAGGTTAACATAAAATTTATAACAATTATCTAGTCTCATGTTTAACATATTCTTTAACTAATGAACCCTACCTAACTTACTAGAGCGTGACACATGAAAACTATCACAATTTATAAGTGCATAATTATATTGCCAAACTGCTTCAAGTTCTTAACAGTTTATTAATCTTCAAACTATTCCCACATACATGCGTGATTGAAATCGTCATTACAAGAAGTTGAGAAATGAATATTGTGGCAGTTTTGATGGTGATGATCACTAACTAGCGAAGAAGTTGAGCAATGAATCTCAACGCAGAACACATACATATACAGCTATTGACGTACGATTGAAAGTTAGCATCAAAATAGAGAAAAATAAAGAACTAGAAAACTAAAAAGGGGGGAAAAGAGAGTGTTTAATTTAACTATTTTAGGAGCAGAAGTGAGTGGTTACCCCACTAAACTACCAACAGTGCCACCACAAACATATTTCTTTACAGCAAAGCCACACTCCTTGCATGAACAAATTGCTCACGAATTCGACGTATTGGATATTCTGTAATACTTTTTACGTGTAAGATATGAATTATCACTTTAAAAATAAAATTATTCGCTGAATACGAATGCAAAATGCTAAAATCATTTTGAAATTAGGCATATTTCTAAAACGTAAATATTGTTGCAGAAGATAAATTTTATCGAGTAAACTTATACACCAACTTTAAAAAAACTTTCAAATTGTGAGGTCAAAAATATAATCATTCAACCGTCACCGTGAGGTCGAACTGAAAAAAATTTCAGATAATAGACACCCTATTAAAAGAAAATTAAGTCAAATCTGGTTGGCTGGGGTCGATCGATCACCCTAACCCCTAGTTCCGACATTGACTTTAAAATTGTATCGGTCTAACTAGGTTTGTCTTGTTGTGCTGTACTGTGTTCAATGGAAACCCCTTTATCGAATTGAACCTCTACAAGAAATTAGGGCGCATGATATCAAACAACACGATGCTAAAAGAATATTTGCAAGAATTGCACTTTAATAATAGAAAAAAACTCCTTTTAGCGCAATGCCTGATGACCATTTCTTGTTTGTTTCCAGGCTGCTGATCTTTTATACTTGAGTTCATCATCAATTTTGATAGTGCATTCTGATCTATCTTCCTTTCCATGTAATCTAAGATAGTTAATGGTTGATATTGTTAAATATCTCAATCTCCTTTTAAATAGTTTTTTCTTTAATGATCCAATCGTAACCTTGAAATTAGTCCACATCTTTGATTATGAATTTCTTGGTTACCATGATAATCTTGATGAAGAATATACTTCTTTTCTTGAGAATAAGAATATACTTCTTGAAGTTCAACGATGTTCTTTCCTTGCCCTAATCTTAGCCCTCCAAGACAACTATTCCACCACCACCCCCCTCCAAAAAAAACAGTTTTGTATTAGAGAATCATTTATAATCTACAAATCTCTAAATCAACGTGGACTATTTTTTGAGACAAATTTCCAAATTCAATGTAAATTTTTTTTTTTCTTAATCTATCTTTTGCAACGAAAAAATTTTCAAAATCCACTACATACGTACTAACAAACAAAAAAGTTAATGTGAGATATTTTAGCGATAGGAAAATAATTAAGATGTTTTCACTCTTCACAATGATAATCAGTTTTGATTCAAAACCTTGCAAATTAATTCAAAGTAAAAAACAAAATACTACAAAACGAGACAAATAACATTGTTTCACCTCTTAGAGACAATGACCAACTGCCGACAGTCGTCCAATAATTAACTTACTGTCGCGGCAAGTTTCGAGAGTGATTAACAACATAGTTTTCAACAATAATTAATTAATTAACTAATTAAATCAGTACATTTAGTTAGTTAAATAATCATTCATCTCTTCTGTTTACCATTGGTAGCCTTCCCCCTGTCTGATTATTCTCTAACTTGAGTGTGTCCAAAAATCTTAGCCTATTTTTTACAACTTGTAAGAAAAAAAAAATAATTTAAATGTCAGCATCAATTTTTTGCAGCAACAATTTTTTAACTTCGATTCGTCGACATCTGTAAAATAAATAGACAATCTTCCGGTCCACATCCATCTTATAAATAATTTAATTAGAGTATTACGTCAATTTGAAATTGACAAATGACAACATTTGTATAAACACATTTTTATATTGTGAGATCTCATTGGATCTTACGTAAGTTCAGATTTAGCCCAATCAGACATGAAAAAGCCGTAATACATTGGCAATAATATTCTAGCTACATCCTTCCAATCAAACAAACCTAATTGAACAATGATATCAAGGTTCCAAATTAACGTTCCACTGGGGTGATGGTTTTTCTGTTAGATGTCGGAAAATATACATCTCTCCCGTTACATGATTAAAATTATAACACTATATATATCTTTCGTCCCAAAAAAATAAAATAAAAAAATCTCGCTACCTTTAACTAGTGTGTGTGATGGCTGATGAGCTGTGGCCTGCGGGTGATATTATACCAAAAAAATGCCTACGAAAAAAGAAAAAATGCCACGACAAAGTTACCAAAAAGTTTCAGACAGTTGGTGGTTGCGATTTGGGGGGGTCAATGTAAAAGATTCACCACCACATTCGAAATCCAAATTGACAAATTAACATCTCTATTTTATTTCTCGTTTTCTTGGCTTGCCCAATACTTTATATAAAATCCAACTTGAATGGTTTATTCGTTTGATCTTCATCGTACCCTCCAAATTCCTGTGTTGTTCTTCAAGTTGTCTTGTTTCTAGTTTCTTCCAGTTTTCCAATCTCTTATCCTTTTTGGAATTTCTTGGCCAAGTTGCAAGCATTTGTCTTTAAGAAGGAAATGATCAGGGGAAAAAAAATTTAAATGGAAGTCGGTTAAGCAGTTCTTTTGATTTGCCTCTTCAGAAATGGGATTCCAATGATCACTTAAGCGTTGGAAGTTTGAAGTAGGCCGAAGAAGATGATCAAAAAGAAAGGAAGAGAAGACGCCGACAAGGAAAAAATTTTGTGACAGGGAAACCCTAAGCTAGAAGTTGGCGACCCAAGAAAGAGAGATCGAATGATACCATGAAAGAAGTAAAGTTCTGTGTATTGATCTATATATAGTCGGTGTTTTACAAAACCCTAGCCGTCTACAGAAATCCTAATTAGGGTTACCTAATTTACATATTCTATCAATATATATTGGTTCTCCTGGCACAACTTAAACCTACAATAAATTGGATTATTCATATGAGTCGGAAAATAGATTAAAAAGTCCACATTTTAATCCAAATATTATCATCGTTATTTTTTATTGATCTACATAACACGTCTTTTTACTGTAAATATTTTATCAAGTGTTTCACATATCGATTATGATTACTTAATATCGTCAAATTTGGACTTTCCAGGTTCCATGATGTGAAAATTAAAACTACATATATTCTTCTGTTCCAAAATTATTGTCCAGTTTAGATTTTTGTTTTTAATTTAATTTATGATTAAAATGAGAATCAAAATTGATCAATAATTTCAAGATAAGGAGTATAACAAATTGATTTTACCATGGGAAGTGGTGGCTGGCAAACAGCGAATGAAAACAGTAGGTAGCCAACAAAATCCAAGGAATTGGATTGGAGCTTATGCGAAATTGATTTGATTTGATTTTGAGTTAGAGCATAACAACAACAACAACGTCATTCAAGCAGACAATTCCCCATTGAATAGACCAATAAGTGACTCCTCTCCATCAATACATGCACACTTAAACAGAAAAAGAAAAATATATTCCTTTCTCTATATCAAAATTATTGTCCAATTTGAAATTTTATTCTAAGATAAAAAAAATAAAAACTTAAATTGAACAATAATTATGAGTGAGAGGGTAAAATTACTGACCAGAAGCATTGTCAAAAAATCACTGTGCAAAATAGTGATTCTGTGCACATTTTCATGGGTGGGTTTGTTTTTACTTTCTGTGTTCCAGTTCAATGTTTGCTCCATTTTGAGCTTTCCTTTCTGACAAATCAAACAATTTGCTGTGTTATTTAAGAAAGGTGTCCACAAATCCAAGCAAAGCTATTTTAAGATTACAATCAATTGAAATTTTTGGGACTCTAAATATGGTCATGTCAAATGTCACAAAACTAGCTGGCACTAGCGGAACTGAGCCGAATGGCTGAATAGTTACCAGTAATAGTACTAAACTTGACTAGTTGAATGTATTATGGGAACAAGGAAGACTTTATTCATATGATATTAAAATGTAATTAGTAAAGTAGATTTACAAAATTTTACAAAGGTTTAATTAAGGTCTTAAACAAGGTCAGTTTGTTAACTTTTCCACTGATGTTTAGATACAAAATGAGTACATCATTACTGAATGAATGAGTTCATACTTCCTACTATAACCAATATAAAAGGGGAAAAATGCATTCCTTTTTTCTTTTTTTTTTTGCATATTTGTAAGGGGAAATGCCTTATTAAAAAAAAAAATCTAAGATCTGACATTTTTTGACAATCTCAAACATAAAATTTAGGCAAACGTCAGCTGTTCCTAGATACTACAACAACATTTGATACTCCAAAAGGGAACAGTTTATTAAAGATTCTGAATTTACCACTTTCATATCAGAAAAAAGGAGCTCACTTTCACTTCACTTAATAATAGCTGGACAGAGATGGTTATAAATGCAGTGGCTTTTGATAGACATGTTTCTACCCATTTTAGCAAAAAACTTTGGATAGCTAGCTGGGATCGATTGCCATCAAATCAATCACACACGGACTTGGATTCATTCATTTCCATTCAATTCAGTGGAAATTGAGGCTGGGCATTCATTTCCCATGCAATGCTCCTCTAACTGTGAAAATTTAAAGTTTGAAACAAGAGCAAGACTGTTCATCTCATCAAACTTTTGGACTCAAGATGCTTCATTTGAGTCAAATAGAGAGAACAAGGTCCAAATTGAATTGGTCATCTTCTCCAGGGTAAGCCTAGTAGCATAAACCCATGGTGTAAATGTGAAAGAAGCCCAATTCTATGCAGGACAACATTTTTGAATCCAATTTTGCATCTTAAAAAGATGATCACAATTTGACATTGCAAAAAGGAAACAGAACTCAATTTCACATGGAAACAGAACTCGTGGTTGGAAAAATGAAATCAACACACTTAACCAAGCAACAAGCTTGATGCATCCTCAATCCTACAATTTGAGTACTCACAAAATCTGAAGTCTAAACTGCAACCAAACTAGACTGATGAATTCAGGGCCAAAATTGTTGGATTGATATTTTCCTAGGTCCAAAACAGAACAATGAGAAACAATCAAAAGATTAAAGAACCAAATGGAGCTAACATCCTCTAATGTGCATACATACTAGGTCATATACTGGTAAGAACTGAACTACACAATAACTCTACAAAGACTGAGTGAAAGCAATGAATTATTGGGGTGAAAACACAGCAACGGCTACCCTGTTTCAAAAATTCTTCACTAAAGTGTATATGGATCAATCATGATTTTCCGGCAACAGGGACGGTTCAGGATCTTCTTCTCTAAGATCAATCATCCACCGTCAAAACTCAAAACCAATCAGATTTAACAAAAGGGCTGTTGTTAAATGTTGTCGTCCCAGAAACCAAGATTCTGACCTGAAGGAATCCTTCTCTGCAGTAATAGCCCGCACATCATTCCTCCTCCTCCCTTTCCAGCTACTTCTCCAGCATCCCTGTTCAATTCCTTCAAAGCCCCTGCCAATTTCAAACCCACGCCGTTCCATTCTTTCAGGGCACTTGCCGGCACCGCCGCCGACGGAGACGTCGACGAAATGGACGCCGTTGTGCAGGTTGATTCTGAACCATCCTCCGACAAATCCAAAGAAGAGAAGTCTAATTCGCAAGATTCAGCGCCGGAAGAAAGGTCGCTGGCCTTTGAGCCAATCCGGCTCAGCCTCCTCCACCGGCGGCTGTCGTCTTTCTCTTTCTTATCCCGATGACTGGCAACATCACCCAAGCTAATCCCATAAAAGCCGTGAAAGATTTCAAGATCGGAGCTTGTTGTACAACTGGAAACGGAAGCGGCTAAGTTGAGGACTCCATGGAAACGGCCGGAAGGACGCCTGATTTGAACCGCGGTGAAAGCCGGAGTACCAATTTCGCCGGAGGTGGGTTTTCCGAGGCAGCTGCTGATGAGGAAACGCACGGTTCCGACGAGGTAGTCCCTGATGTAGCCCACGGCGTAAATCTCGACGACGACGCCGGAAGTATCGCTGGCGATGAAGTCGGGAGAAACCCGGAACAAGAACTTGTCGTTCCAAGTAGGGTTTTCCGCCCCGACACGATCCACCCGGGTTCGGAGCTTGGTAGACGGGTCAACCCAAAGAACCGCGTAGCTGTACATCTTCCGGGGATTTCCCGACGGCGCCTTCAAACCCTGGGCTGAGATTAAATTGACTTCCAGAATCAATTCCTCTTCCTCCTTCCCCATTGAACCCTTCTTCTTCTGCCTCTCCTTAAACATCACTCTGCTAAAAAAATTTCTTTCTCCCCCTTTTCTCTCTTTCTTTAAGAATCAATCTTGCCGTATTTGTTCCATTTCCCGATGAGATTAAATCAAAATCAACTCCAGAGGGAAGACAATTGGGGTTGGGATCGAACTGCAGCGGAGTTGAATTAAGTAATGGGGAAGGATTCTTTAATCGAAGATGGAAAGAAAGAGAGAGAAAGGAGAGAGGACGGCCGCCGGAGAACGGCGGAGCAGGAGGGGGGGTTTCTCTGATTCGAATTATTGAAGTGAAAGCGGTAGTTTCTTTATAATCTATTGCTACTTCGAATTGAGGGCTTTTGTAGCGGAAAAAAGAAACAAACAGCTGTATGCTTGTGTGCCAACCCCAATTTGAATCAAATAGCGTTAATTTTACACTTTTTGGGATGCCGTTATACTTATTGGTATACATTAGTATGATCTACAATTAGAAGGCCTTTTTTTTTTTTATAATCAGTTGTCGATGATGAAAAACCTATCTTTTCAAAATCAGATCGCACCCGGCGGTCTGACCGGTTAGATCGAGAACCGGAGATCTTACCGGTCCGGTTCTATAATGAACCGGATTTTTAAAAACTCGGTCAAATGAGGTCAATTTCGAACAAAAACGCAATTTGACCGGAAACCAGTCCGGTGGAACCAATTTTTTATAAATATTATTAAAAGTTTTTTAATATTATTTTAACCCGGTTTTTATCGGTTCCGACAACGAGTTAACTGATCAACCAGGTTAATCCACTAACTCGGTCATGTTAGCGGTTCACTCTTCGGTCTAATTTTGAAAAACTTATGTTAATTCTCCACAGTTTTTACCCTCTTAGACTTCTTCCTAATGTAGAAAAAAATAAGATGGAGGGATTGATTAGTGAATGTAGTGCGACATAAAAATAAAAAGAAAAAAGTGCTAGTTATTATTGAATTATATAAAGAAACAATTAAAAACTTTTTAAAAAAACATACGTTTTGTTAATTTGCCTTTCTCTATTATTAAGCGGGCAGAATGAAACACCTCGACATGTAATTTTTTCATTCGTTCCTATTTTACCGATTCTACTTTTTCAAATCATACTACAAATGTGTAAAAGATCGATTAGGTTTAGGGATTATTCCGTTGTGTCATCGCACAACCTTTTTTCGTTGAAAGATGCATTAATTAATAAATTAGGGTAAAGTATAATTTTGATATCATTTTATTTTAGCTTTAGAGTATGACATATTCATTCAATAAATGCTTCCAAAATCTTCTTCTTCCCTAAAAGAGAGAGAATCGTGGAGAAGTTTACCAAGTCTTAAACAGACTTAGGTGGATACATCGCAACGGATTATGCCACCTAATAATACTTCTACTTTTACACTAGAATCTCAGCTCTTTTGCCTACCACTTTGATTCTCTTCGATCTCAAAACTCTCTTACATCAAACAAAATCCATTCATCTCATTCAATTTTTGGTCGTCATTTAAATAACCTCAAAAAGACAAAGGTAAATTAGCATTAATTGAAATGAGATGTCCATAATATTGTAAGTTCGAAAAGAATAAAAAATCTGACAGACATTAGTATATAACAAATTAATGATTTTTTTTTTTTTTGATGTATCGAGAAATATCATTTCATTAAAATTGTCGCACCAAAAAACAAATTGGTTGAGCTAAGCGACAATAAAATATTCTCAATCTTAACCATTAATCCATTAATTCCAATAGAAGAGAATGAAGGAAGCAGCTGAATTATTTACAATTAGGATCATAAAATTAATCAACAAAGACAAAAGAAAAAAAACAGAACCCATAAAAAAAAAATTAAAGATTAAATTGTTGTTGGTAGAGAAGAAAGACCTAGCTAATACGCAAAGCAAAGTGCAGAATATCGTTTAGGCTGTTTCTTCATCAATTTCTGCTTCATCATCACATCGAATTCTTCAAACTCCATAGCCAAATTCCTGGGCTTCAAGTTCCCAACCTGAGACGACGAAAACGATGAGTAAATCGATGCCCTCTGCATGATCAATTTCCCCATCTTGTTACTTAAACAACAACTCTTGTTCAATCTCCCATTCAAATTCAATTCGTACGGATAATACTTTTCCCACGCACTAATCGACACATTCAAAGTCCCAACCTCGTACGCCGCCGCCGTCGTCGTCGTTGACTGATCCCCGCCGTTATTACAACCTTTGACGATCGAAATCCCGGCCAATTCCGCCCTCACCTCAAACGTCTCCTTCTCTTGGATCTCCGGCTCCACGTAAACAACGACGTCTCCGCCGTCTCCGTCCGCAGCCGCGGCGGATTGCTTGCATTCCTCCACCGGAAAAATTTTGCTCACGTCACAGGAAGCCTGACCCATGACCAAATCCGGGATGTACTTTCTCGCCTTGAAAAGGGTAAAACTCACCGTGGATTTCTCGTCGGAGATGAAATTCTCCGGGACGGAGAAGACGAATTTCTGATTCCAGGTGGGGGAATAATTATCGCTGGAGCAGCAATTCGCCAGCTTTGTTCTTAGGCCCTGTTCTTCGCTGACTGAAATCCTCACGTAGAAATTACCTTTCTTTTCAGTGTTGAGTTGGGCAGATTTCACCTTGATTTCCACTAATCTAGACAACAATTTTGAAGAATCCATCTTTGTTTCAAATTTTTCTGGGCTGGAAAAACTAGTGACAGTATAGTTCTACTACTAAATATAAATATTTATTTCACGATTTGGGAAGGAATATGTTAATGGAGAAGAATGATGGATGGAAATTTGCATATATATTGGCATTAAAAGTGGGATTTATATTTATCCTAATTGGATTTTCAATATATCTGAATCTGATTTCTTGACGGATTGGGAGTCTTGTTGAATCCTACTAAGGGAGACAATCTCTCAACTGATTTGGCTTTTTTTCCAGAAAGAGAAATGTTTAATTAAAATTGGACAAATTCTATTATCAGTTATAATATTGCCGGGATTTTCTCTAACACAATTTGAATTTGTTGAACACGTACTTTACTGTAATAACTCAGCATGGTATTACTCAACTCTAGAAAAAAAAAAAAAGAAAAAAAAGCTCTATATAATCTTTTATGTTGACATTTAAAAAATTACTCCCACCATGTCTGAGTTTAAATTTTCGTTTTTAGTTCAAATTGTACTAAAATTGAAATTTAAATATGGACAATTATTTTGAAACAGAGAAAATAAATGAATTATTGTAACTCTGTTTGAATATATTACACTCTTAAGTTGGGTAGGATTTTTCCTGAAAACAAATTTCTCCCAACAAATATTTTAGTCGCTTTCCAACGAGATCTCCCAACAAGTCGGGTTACATATTTTCTTGAATTATTATTATTTTTTAATTATATACTCAACCCTCTTAAGATAATTGTTAGCGATTAATCAGGACATTATTTTTGGATGAGGGGATTACTTATTAATGTCAAAATGAGATAATAGTCCGTCGTTACACCAATGTTTGCTAAGAAGGGCCCGGTCAATCCATTTATATATGCTAAAAAATAAAGATCTCTAATTGGTGGGTAAGTTTTCTGAATATGCTAACAAAACATTTGACATCAAATATTTAATTAATTCTTACCAAATTGCATAAGATCGATGAATTGGACCGACGGTTGTTCAACCCTAAGAATAGTAAGAGGAGGTGAAATAGGATAATTCAATTGGCATGTCAACGCTTCAACATGCTTCGACGTTATTATTATCGTTATTTTATTTTTTTTGAGATATGACGCCACCGTTGTTTAAAATTATTCTCTTATTAATTATTATTTAGAATCGAATTGAATAATTTTTTTCTTAGAATGTAAATTCTCCAAACAAGTACAATTGCTCGTATGGTTTTGACAATAAGACACGCCACAAGTTCACTTGAGCCTCAAGTTGAATTTGTAAGTAGCTTATCTTGATATTCGAAGGCTTGTATAAAATGTAGTGGACTTTCGACATTATAAATGCCTCCTTTAAATAACCAAAAAATAAAAAAATAAAAACAATATGGCCATTGTAATAGAAAAATGCTTCATTTTTTTTGTGGACTTTATTTATTTATTATCTTTTTTTCTTTTTTTTAAGGATTGTGGACTCTATGATTTATAGCTTCGGTCCTACTTTGATAATTCGATATGTATATATACACACACTGAAGAAGTATTGCACTACATACCAACTCTTCAAGAGATCGTTAAGCAATCAAAAGATAAAATTTGTTTAGCATTATTCAGGACACATAACATGGATAGTAATTCATTAAATAAATTTAATTGGGAAAAAAAAAAGAGTTTCTGTCATTATGGCCAGCCCAGATTGCTGCTGGGCCTTATCCCATTGTAATTTTTTCCTCGGCCCCAGATTGTAGTCTAGTTTCGTTTAGCCGGATCCTTAAAGGCAAAGAAGGACCTACTATTTTTATAGGAAGCTATGACAAAGCTCTTTGCTCTTCTTCTTCTTCTCCCACAATCTGGTATCCTAAAATTCAAATCCATTTTAATTTTGTTCGTCCTTCAAGCCTGCAAATTGCCAGAAATTACCTTCGTTTCTCTCCCTCCGTAGCCCATTCAGCCGACCAAATCGAACTTATTTCCCGGATGAGGAGTTCTTGAAATTTATGGTTCCAGTTCACTGGCATCAATCGTTTTATTTAGGTATTCGTGCAGCAATTTTTTTTTTTTCCCTCCCTATTATGTGCTTTACAGTTTATACTGTTAGGTTTAGCTGTTGATTTTGAGCTCTCTTTTGAACTGGTACGGCAAATTGCAGAAATATTAGGAATGATTTAAGGCTTATTTTATGCTTATTGAAACACTGGCAAATTCATTTTCATAATTGGTTCTGTTGACTTCGTGAGGGCTGCATTGGTTGCAGAACAATCGTTAAGATTGCTTTGATGATCGCCTCTGCTTCTAGCAACAACCTAAATACTCCGTTTCGATCCTTCTCTCTGTTTTAGGGCTTTCGTGAAGATATTTTGTATGAGTAATAATGTCCGTTCCATGAATAAGTGAACCCCTTTGGGATTTTGTATTTTGTCCAGCTAGTAGAGTCAAAACACTTTGGGATTTTGACCTTGTTGTATTGAATCTGGAAATCAAAATGAAACAACTCTGATTTTTGACAGGACAAAGATGCAATGTTAGCTAGTTACTATAGCAGGTTACAAAGAAAACCGAGATTTACTAGGACGAACCAATGACAAACTTCTCTGAACTGTTCAGTTGACATCTTTTAGAGGGTTCAATGTCGAAACTAGGTCTGTGAAAAGGACAATCTGATGTGTTTGAAATGTTTTCACTGGCCATTCTGTGATGCTTAATACATAGCAGTTGGCTGTCCCTTCTCTAGTTTTCCTTTTTCGGATCCCCTCTATGCTCCTAGGGTATTAAGTAATGTGGTTATGATTAATTGCCTTCTAGGGCATGGAAACTGATTCTTCAGGGCCTTCCTTTAAATTCAGTGGAATATGTTTTTATCTTGTTCCTTGTCTCAAATTTATAATTCTGGCCAAGGCGATTTGAACTCCATGATATATGATGTGTGATTTATATGCCGTCTCTGTATATGGAGTTTGAGGTAAAAATAATAGCCATTGTTCTAGATCTTCAGGTTGCATATAGAGATGGATATCATATCTCAGCTGCAAGAACAGGTCAACACAATTGCGGGACTAGCTTTTAATACCTTCGGGACACTTCAGAGGGATGCAGCTCCGGTTAGGCTGTCGCCTGATTATGTTGAACCACCTGCTAATGGTAATCCACCAGCCTCTGCCGCAGAAGATGCAGCGGCAGCCAATAATCCAGCTGAGCAACCTAAGCTTATGAGTGCTGAACTTGTCAAGGCTGCCAAGCAGTTTGATTTATTGGTTGCTGCTCTTCCATTAGGAGAAGGTGAAGAAGCTCAGTTGAAAAGGATTGCAGAACTCCAGGCTGAGAATGATGCTGTTGGCCAAGAGCTTCAAAAACAGTTGGAAGAAGCCGAGAAGGAGCTAAAGCAAGTGCAAGAACTGTTCAACCAAGCAACTAATAACTGCCTCAACTCTAAGAAACCTGATTAGGCGCAAGAAAAGTTATCGGCTGTCCTAGGGTTTTAGCCAATCTCTGGCCTAGGGTCAGGTGTCTTGTCCCGGTGAATTCCTATGGATCCTATGGAAGATCACACTCTGGCCATTTGAGGTTAGAGTTGTTAGATTCTGATTTTGTTCACGGTTAGTATGTTGAATTTTGAATATTACTAATAGTTAGCATCTGATGCATAATAATTCTTGTGATATGACATAATTATCTCTAAATAAAAAGCACTAATCGCTTGCTATGGCACTGACAAATTAGCCCGGCAAAAGAAACCAGCGATGGTAAATATAACTCGGGGACACGGGAAAAACTAGCAGCTTAATAGGAAAACTGGACATTCAAAACTTAAAGCGGATGAAGGAAGAAGAGGCACTAGGAAAGCTTATACGAAAGCTCTTTATTTCACTCCAAATAATTTTACATGTTCAGAATTACAACACCTTTGACATGAAGATAATGAAGGGAAACCCAAAACAACGTTCTACATTGCCATCGGTGCAAGTTTCTCATTCAAGCAACCATTTGACGGTTTTAAACACGACTTCCTGGATGTGTAACGAGATGGGCCGTGTGGTCCTCTCATCCTCAACTTGTTTTTCCTCCATAACTTCTTCTCCAGATCTTTAACTCTCCCAGAAAGGCTAGATATTGCAGCCAGTTGCTCATTTCCTGCTTCAATTAGCTTCTGCATTGCTTCTCTCAACCTCTCGTTTTCTTCAATAAGCTTCTTGTCAACTCCTGCTAAGCCTGAACCATCATCCCCAAAAGTGCACTGTCTGGCTGTTGGCAATGGCGGCAAAACCTCTCCTTTCTTTGCATCTTTTATATCCTGCAAACTCGTCTCCACAACATCTTCGGCATCTAACTCTGAGGAATTTTGATCCTTTTCCAATGTGCAACCATTGTTTACTACAAGTGTAGAGTCAGTTGCATCAAGTTCATCATTGCTCTTAACATCGATAAGAGGGCTTTCCATTTGAGCTTCAGAACTTGACACGAGAGCTTCAGCTTCCATCTCCCTTAACTCTTCATTATGAACCTCAGGATCATCTCCTGGTCTAGATGTCAAACTTGCATGCTCTTCTGGGGCGTCTTCTATTGGAACTTCTTGAGATCCTGGATCTGACGCCGTGCAGTTCTCCACTTTGTCATGGATATCCTCCGGCCTGGCCAACCCAACACCCAGTTCCAAGCAGTCTTCTGTCTCTAGCTGCTGATTTACGTTAAGATCTTCTCCGTATGTTCCTTTTTCATTGACATTCATGCTCACGTCATCATTACTCTGAACACAAGCAGCCCTGATGGGGTTCTCATCACCATCACCAAAGCCCTCCGTGGCCTCCTCATGGGTCAAATCTTTTCCTTTTGTTACATCCTCCATTACTGTTTCACATTGCTGGGAATTGTCATTTCCTTCTTCAAACTGCAGAAGATGAGAATCCCCATGCAAGTTAACAGAGCTGTGGCCTTTGAGTGACTCGGATACTTCCTTCAGGTCAGAGACCTCATCTGTGGCCAATGATGTGATCTCAACATTCCCAACCTGAGAGGAATCATGATGAAGACTGACTTCCATAGCAAGGTTCTCTGTTTTAGTTGTGGCCTCATTTTCCCATGACAATCTGGTTCCATCGAGATCTGCATCATTAGCTCCCTGGAATGCTGCAACCAATTCCAATGGACTAGCAACTGCAAGTTCATCAGCACTCTCATTACCTCCACACTCTGACAATTCAGCCACCTTCGAACCATTCCAGGCCTCATTTTCAGACTCGGATACAGTACTGATTCTTAAGGAGTGTGCTACAGGTTCCACTGAACTAGCTCCGGAATCTACGTCATTGTGCCAGACCTGTTGAAGTGAGCAACCCACTGAATGCCCTTGGTCATCACCGAATACAAGGTCCATGACCTCATTTTCAGATTTTGATTCTGTTTCAGTGGTATCTGTGGTGGTAGTAGCCTCATTACCCAAGTCGCATCCGGTTATTGTGGAGGGCGTCCCCAATGATTCTGTTCCTATAAGTTCAGATGAAGCGTCATTTTCTCTATCATTCACATCCAACCCTGCAGGAGCTACATCTTTGTTGACCTCTGAATGGACTTCATGAGCAGTGCTGGGCTTTAACTCACCCCCATCTTGGTCGAACTTATCGCCTGAATTTTGCTCTTGTACAGTTTCAGATTTCATACAAGTTAGGCAATCAATCTTTTCTTGTAAGCTAACAAGTTCTCTTGCCACAGATTTCCTGACATCTCTTATGCTGGGATGCAAGCCCTGACACAAAAGAGACAAAGATAATGTTAGTTGCTCATATCCACTTTGAGAGTGAACTGGACAGTATAAGGGTGTTATGTAAAAAGAAACATGAGAACATCTAAAAGCAATAATTATTACCAATGATTCCTATAGAAAATGCGGGTCATTAAGTTGATTACCTGTATAGTATCCAGCTTCAGCAAGAGGTTCATTATAGTTTCCTCAATTGAAATTCTCCACTTATCATCAATTTGCATATCAGAAGCAATCTGTTTGTCTAGTTTAACCACCTGGTCTCTTACATCAGCAATTTGCTTCAACTTCTTCAGTGGTTCCCATCTCCGAACTTCATAACCACGATAAGCGGATTGGATGATGGTAGCTGCTTCATCTTCAGACAGCATTCTTGCATTCTTTGCTATGTCTGAAGGATCAATTTTAACAAATTTTCCATCCATGTCCAGTGCTGCTGATTGATCAGAAGGGGACAAACCCTCATCGGCCTTACTTGTTCGCTTCTCAACAGCTACCACATTTTCATCTTTCTCGGTCAGCCCTTCCGAAACTTCAATTGTTTTCACTTTTCTCTCGCGTTGTTCGGCATCTCTGCATGATTCTTGCGTGCTGTTTTCCAATGCCGCGTCCCGTTCAACAGCTTCTTTTGCATCTGATCGAACAGGTTGCTGAAGTTTTTCTTTGTCTTTAGGGGGACTTGGGGATCTCGAGCTGCATTTTCCATTTTTCCTCTTGTGAACCGGATCAACTCTGAGACAAATAGGAGGCAATTTTTGAGATTTAGACGGAGAAGAAGGCTTACTCTTAGCAGATCCTTGATGAGATTTCACGTCTTCAGAACCACCAGAAGGGCTTTCCATTTTCACTTCATTCTTCTTAGGTAAATTCCCTTGCTCTGCAGATTCAACAGTCTTTGCAGGGACATTTTTCGCCTCATTAACTTCGGGTGGTATGTTATCTTTGTCCTCAGAACCAAGGATCATAACTTTAGGTTTCTCTTTTGTGCCTTCTTCAGCAGCTCTCAATTTTCCACTGTCCCTCTTCTCCTTAGGATCATCAAGATTATAAGGCACCCATATCAAAGGAAAAGACATTCGCCGCTTATCTTCATCTTGATGCTCTTTCTTTCCAGTTGAATCACCTCCTCCTCGCTTTGCCGATCCAGAGTTATCTATTATCAAAGGGAGCCACCCATTTGCAAACTTTTCCTTATCTGCGTCCTGATTTTCTTGCTTTCTTAGTGAATCACACGCTAGCTTTGCAACTCCAGGATTATTCACCATCCAAGGCCACCATCCATTGGCAAAATTTCTCCCATCTCCATCCTGACTTCCATGCTTCCTAGCCGAATCAACTCCCTGCTTTTCAAAACCAGAATCATCCATGATCAACGGCAGCCACCCGTTCATGAAATTCCTCTTATTTCCACCCTGATTATCTTGCCTCCTTGCCGAGTCATCCTCCCCAGTATTGTCCATTATTAAAGGGATCCATCTGTTCAGTAAAGCTTTCTGCTCAGACGAAGGTATTGGTCTCTGATTAGCCTCTGTGCCACCTGAATGCGTGAAATCCTTCCTAGCAGGTTTTCCCGAATCATCCGATGCTGCATTCATCATGGAACCCCTGGGAACCCAGGCAACTGGTGAAGAATTAGTCAGAGTCTCATCAGGGCTCTCTTCCTCAATCTTGACATTTCCATCCCTTTTATGCTGATGATTTGGGCAACCACAACAATGACCATGGTTTCCAGACATGTTACCTAGAGGCCTGGCATAATCTGGAGCCTCCACCATAGTATAAGGGGGAGGGCAACCGTAGCAAACAGGATAAGAAGCCGGAGGCGCAGGGTAAACACCAGGATAAATTACAGGAGCAACAGGAGTATAAGGAGGCTGCGGCGCCAAGTAACCATATGCGGGATGGGGAGGCCAAGATTGATAATAATACCCGGGATGATGTTGATGATGGGGTATTGACTGCATTTGGTGATGAGGGTAGGAAGAGTTCATAGATTGGTAAACGGGATACATCCTTAAATCCTTTAGCCCTCTAATAAAACCACCTGGTAGAAGTAGTAGATGTTTTTTTTTCTGGGTATGAGTCAGGTGGCCAACAATTTACCGGTGGGAACTGAAAACCCTGATCAAAGAATGAACAACAAAAATACTTTCAGTTTCAGTTCAAAGAGTACGATCAGAGACGATACATCAGACATAATGCTAAACTTGAAAGGGCGAAAGAAATTTACAAACATTCTCATCACAGCTCAAACCTCACACTAAGTCAATATACGTCAGTCACAATCTGCTAAATTAAGAGGGCCATAAATTCACAACCATTTTCAGAATAAGAAGTATAAAGTCAACACTTGCTATCAACAATGCATTTTTTTCTTCTTTTTTTTTTTTTTTTTTTTTTTTGCGTCTGGGAAGTGGGAATCATCATAATTCTACACAAAGGCTAAACAAAATGGCCATAAAACACCAACCAAATCACGGTAAAGAAAGAAAGTAGTTGCAAAGGCACACGGATCAAACAGATATTGAAACTGTGTACCCAGAACTACAAATCAAGCCTAAACAAACTGGCATTTCACAGGATGAATGACAAAGAAACAGTATTCCACACAATCCTAACTAAAATGGTCATTGATCATGAATCAACTCTGAGAAATGATGCATTTAATTGGAAGGTAAAATCTGGGATAGGAACTTACCAAACAAACTCAATGAAAAATAAATAAATGAATAGACTCTCTCCAATCGATTCCGCTGAATCCGAATGTAAAATTTACCGGAGCAAAACGGTCCACCAACCCAAAATGTAAAAGGTAAAAAAGAAAAAGCTTAGAACAGTTTGATGATTGCTGGGTTTCTTTTCTTCGAGCTGAAAATCTGAGTTCCGAATGATAAAAATCCGGTTCCTTTATAAAGCCAGCTGGTAGAAGAAAGAGAATGGATTTTCTGGATTTTGGTTAAACCAAATTCTACGGAGTTCGAGATGTTTCGCGCGTTTCTCAACGGTTAGGTTGTGTCCGGAAATTTCTTTGCCACGTCTGCGTTGAATAGTCAACTATCACCCCACAACAAAGTTACAGATCTCTTTTTGTCAGTATGGGCTCGCATTTCCTATTCCATCCGATTACCAAAGGCCCAATAAACTCGACTGCAGTCCAACAAGATCAACAAAGAGAGCCCATAATTAACCCACCCACCGCCTCTTTCTTCTAAAACCCAATCGTTCTTCCGGCAGGGTTTTACAAAAATCAGTAAAAAATTTGATTTTATCGATTTCATTCAATCCTCGGAAACTAACACAATGGGGAAAGCGAAGAAAGCCCCCAAATTCGCTGTAATGAAGAAGATGGTGACCGCCAAAGCTATCAAGCAGTAAGCTCTCACTGATTTCTCGGTTCATTAAAATACTGTTTAAAACTTTTTTCACTGTTGCCGTTTTGATTTAGGGTTTTGCTGTTTTCTTTGATTCAGCCACAAAGAAGAGGTCTTGAACCCGAACAAGAAAGACTTGACCAAAGAGAAACTACCCAGAAATGTGTATGTTCAAGTTGGTTTTGATGAGTTTTTTTTTTTTTTTTTTTATTTGGCATAATCGTTTGGATAATTGATTGGGGAAAAATTCGTTTGGGTTTTTGATGTGCAGTCCAAATGTTTCCTCTGCGCTTTTCTTCACGCATAACACTGCATTGGGTCCACCATATAGGGTTTTGGTTGATACCAATTTCATCAACTTTTCCATTCAAAATAAGGTGACTGATTATTTTATATTTATCATTTTTTTTTCGCAATGTATTTTGCTGGTGAGAGATTGTAGGTTATTATCCTCATATAATTTTGTGTCTCTTGTTCTTTTGTAGTTGGATTTGGAGAAAGGAATGATGGACTGCTTGTACGCCAAATGTAAGTTTGAATTAACTGATTGTGGCGTGTACATTTGAGCCTCTATGCTTATTTTTGCGGGAGTAAAAAATGCCTCCTTTTGCATCCTATTGTTTTGTGGAATTTGGAATTTTTTTATGATGCCTACTGCTCTCTGTTGATACTTTGCAGCCTTAGCGGCGCAGGGCACTTTCTTCTTTCACCAGGGATTAAAAAAAAATAATGAATAATGAATCTTCTTTATTGTCCACTGAAAGCTAAAGCTTTATGTATATTCTTAGTTTACTCCATTTGCCTTCAACACCCTTCAGGGAAATGCTTTGTCCTGCTGTGTTCCTTAAAATGTCTAGCTTGGATTATGTGATTTTTTCTTTCCCTTTAATGTTTGGTGTGTGTGTGTGTGTGTGTGGGGGAATGTAGTGAGTAAGAGTTCTCATTGTGGTTGATACTTTACTTATAGCTGTGCTTGCTCTGTCCTGTGCTTTTTCATCAATTGCTATCTATATTATTGTGCATTTTGTCAAATCTAATTTCCTTCTTTGCTTTGGTGTAGGTACTCCTTGTATTACAGACTGCGTGATGGCTGAGCTTGAGAAATTGGGTCAAAAATATCGTGTTGCGTTAAGGTAGTTATTGTTGCTTTAATATTATTTTAGTGAACATACTTCCTAGTTACTACTCTTCCTTATTCTGGTGGTACTTTGCTTTTCTTCCTTACCTTATATTTGAGGATTGATTCTGGTGTATAGCTTTGCTGGTTTTGTTGACTTTTCTTATTTCTTTATTTCTATGAAAAAAAGCAAGCAAGCTGATACGTTCGTGTTATGTGAATCTAAAATCTAAATGACTTTTGCTTTGAGATTGTGGTGGATGGTAAAATATAGTTTTCTTGTATTTGATTAAAGCTATTTTAGTTTTGATATCAGCTGGTAGCACTGCTCGTGGTTGTATTTGTATATTTGTTTTATTAGCTTTTTGTGTCAGTATCAGGATTTGTTTTCCTATACAAGTTTTCATGTTGTTTTCTTCACAACTGTGATTGTTATTGTGTGTGTTTTATAGTCATCATTCAACTGGGAGTTTTGATTTGAAATTTAGATTAGTTATTGTGCCTGACCTTGGCAATATTGTTAATACATCTGTGATTATCTGTCACAAGATGTTTTCAAACAACAGGAGACTTATGTTGAGCTTAAATTTCTTTATCTTGTTGTGTAAATCGTGTTTTATTGTTTAATCGTTATTCGCATCGTCATAACCTTCTCTGTTTTCCTTTTTCATTTGAAAAGAATTGCAAAGGATCCTCGTTTCGAAAGGCTTCCCTGTACACATAAAGGAACCTATGCTGATGATTGCATAGTAGATAGGGTAACACAGGTATGAATTGGATCACATCATCGCTCATATTCTGTCTATTATAGAGGCTGTCAACATGTTATCCATACATGGGAGTTTTTTCCTGGGAGAAATTGCTTTTCAGCACTTTTGAGAATTCCTGTTATTGACCTGCTGTTTGCTATTTTCAGCATAAATGCTACCTGGTTGCAACATGTGATCGAGATTTAAAGCGAAGGATACGAAAGGTGCGATATGTTCCTAAACTATGTTGTTTTGTCTCCAATTTCAGTAAAGGAATGTTACTGATGACTTTTACTTGCAAACAGATCCCTGGTGTACCAATCATGTATATTACGCAGCACAAGTACTCTATTGAGCGGTTGCCTGAAGCTACAATTGGTGGAGGTAAGATAACAACGAGTCGCCACCATTAACTCTTGACTAATGTACCTTTTTGTTTTGATGATACTTCCTCACGATTCTAACATCTGTATTGATCGGTTTTGCAGCCCCAAGAATGTGAGTAAAGGCCACTGCTGGATACTTTGTCTTGGAGGAACTTAAACTTGCTGATGCCCCTTTTTGAGGCGATTCCATTTTTGGCTGATAATTTAATTAGTCTTTTGCCAGAAATTTGTTGTAATGTTTCTGTTTTATTAACATGAACTAGTGTTATACTGTTATTATTCATGATGCAAAGCTTGTGAATAACTTGTCTGACAGTTTAGATTAGGTGATCTCGTCCCATTCTCATGCGCTATTCGCTTCCTATGGTTCGTGCAAAATGACGTATACCACTTTCGGATTTTAGTAGTGAACGAAAAGGAGACGCATAAGTTAGACTGGAAAATGGGAAAGCAAAAGTACATAACCTTGTTGTAACTGAAGGAAATAAGGAAAAGCCAAAACATAGTGGCACAAGCTCAAAAGTTCTGTACTCAAAGCTGAACAGTAAATTCATTCACAAATTATCAGCGTCATATCCTGGTAAAATCAGGTTACAATGATTGGGCATTCCTACCCTATAGAAGGGTAAAAAACAATCTATAAGAGAAAAAAAAATGAATGTTGCAGGAAGCCGAAAATGAAGCCACTTGCATACATTCAGGGGGGCTTCCAAGTGGCATTTTGTCAGAAGGATGCAGTAACCTACATACAGGACCTCCACTAAAAAATTTACGGGATAAGAACCTAAGGCATCCTCTCTGAACAAGAATCAAGAATGAAACAATAGTGGGGTGGATTACTAAATTGTGGGGAGAAGAATTAGAATTCTAACTAAAAATCTGATTTTTACTGATTTTCAGGTATTATAAACGTGAGTAAAGGTAGTGTTATCTGAAAAGCTTAGCTGCCAATGCTGTTGTTGAGTTTGACAAAGAAGAGCCCATTTCCTCTGGTGGAGGCTTCACGTATTTCCCTATCGTTTTCTGACGAGCCCTACTCTTAATCCGAGCAATCTTATTCTTGCTTTCTTGCCTTCTCTTCTCTTTCTCTCGATTTTTTTGATTCCTCTCCTTCTCATATATACCTTGCCAAAAAACCTCGCCCGTCGATGGCCAAAGCCAGTGTCTTTTTGGCTGGTCAGTGTCGGCTTCCTCAGCAAGGTCCTCGTCCATGCTCTTTAGTGTACTGAATTGGAACCATTTGATCCACATATGCCCTCTTCGTTGCTTCATCTTGTGCTGTTCTTGTATTAAGCCGGTTTCCGGATTCACGTAAACCATTCGTTTTGCACTATGATACGCCCAAACATTTACTAGTAACTCAAGCACTCGAGAATAGCAGTGTTTATCCTGGCAAAAAGGATTCCAGATTTTAGTTACTGATACAAGGTAGAATGTTATTCAACCCTTGTAAAAAGAATTGAGATCATAATTCTTTTTCAGAGAGGAGATAAATGAGTGGAAAAGTGGAATTCAGTTAGCCTTTTCACTGATTTTATTTTAAAGCTTTACTGTGTTCTGGAGACAACAATAAGTTTGTTTTATCCACTACGTGGGTTTAGCCATATAGCTCATGGGCAGGAATCATGGTACAATCACGAGTTTTCATCAAGGTATAAACAAATCATGTCATTTCCCCTTTTTTATCACATCCTTCTGCAGCATTGACTTAAAGCGAGAAAAAACAAGCAATTTTATGTGTCAATATAATCTGATCTCTAAAATTCACAAAGCCTCGGTTGTCAATGCTCAATAGGCTTATTGAAGTGAGAAATTCAAATCATTGTTATTCTGGTGTCTAATACCACTGCAAAACTCATAGAAGCTGAAAAGATAACTAACTAGGTAGAAGGTTCACGAAAGCTAAGAGATAGAATTACCTTAGACAAGCTTAAATAACAACGTCCACTTTGATGGTGCTCCTCATAAAATTTATTATCAAGAGCGTCCACAAATATTCTGCATGCCAAAAGCAAAAAACTATTAAAATATCACCTGGGCTACATAAAGAAGAGAAAAAGGAATAACATGGAACAAGAACAGTACAAGAAACTGAGGAAGAAAAACAGTAAGATTACATATTCAAACCTTGAGAACATGACAAATTCCATAAAGGATCTCGTTGGTAAAGCCCAACTATGCATGACAGACCATGTATCTCCTCCATCTACAGGCATCGGAGGTACAGAACTCAAGTTATGATTTAAGCCGTACATCTTCCGAAAAGCTTCAGAAAATGCAAACCTAGCAATTGGTAATGAAATCACATTTCAATCATTAGTGTAGAAACAGGAAATCCAACCAAAACAAAAAAGAAAAGGAAAACTGAAATGCGCCCTCTTTTGCAGAAGTATAGCCTTGAAGACAGCAGATTATGCAGGCAATGACTTCAAAAAACAAAAAACCGAAAGAAAAAAAGAGAGGGGTTAACAACTCAAACTTTATGAAAAGGGTATTAATGCTAATGTCCTCTGATTTACCTTACACTTCATACAACATTATCAATATCAAAGTAAAATAGGAAACAGAGCAGTTAAACCAACTCTCTCATACTTGTGATTACAAATATAAACATGATGATGATATTGCATTAATGGATGCCTATAATACATATATTTATATGCATGTATTCCTGTATCTAACTAGAAAAACTTCAAGGAAAGAAGCCTTACTGACAATTGCCAGCATTAATAGCATCACAAAATGTCCAAAAATCCTGCTTTTGGGGGTTTCTAGGGTCCTTGTCCATTGAAGCCCAGAAATAAAGTGCATCCCCGTGTTTTCGTGACTGGATGGCATTCAATAAGGATATTTCAGCAGCCCTTGACAAAGATTCCTGTTAAAGTATCTCATTAGTCACTCAAGGACAACAATAAAGCCTACAAAGTAAGCCATTTTGTATATAACTGGAAAATACAATACTATGATGCATACAAATGGACCTTCCATCACATACCTTTCTTGCTGTTGCTCTCCAAGACTGGAAGCCTATCCAAGCATTTTTGTGTATGCGATCAATCCGGTTTGCAATTGCGAAATAAGCACCATATTCACCAAGGACATCTCTATAATAGGGGTTACTTAAAAGAGGAAGCCGAGAAGGTCCATCCACATCATCAAATCCAGGTCGCCGACCTTTACTAGACTACAATAAGAAATGCCATTTGCCGTTATTAGATGGGAAGAAGTTGGGTTCTTTTATAGAACAAGTTGTTCCATACAACAATCATTGAAATTGCTGAGCTACAGACCCAAAAACTGAGCTTTGCAAGCTACTTATAAACAGAATCGCAGCTAATGCAGGAATGATTTGAAAATTGTAATAGTTAAGCGCCAAATCGCAAACCACTCTTTCATGGCTCTTAAGCAAGACATAGAGGAACCCAATGAAAAAATGAACAAGGGATAAAAAGGACGGGCATAGAGAAAATAAAAAATAGACATCTTTTCAAGATATGTAACCAAGAACACCCACCAGCCCAAATCCCCGATACAGTGAAGTGTGGTGCAGAAACGGCCAAGTTCCTTCCCCAATGAATGGTTCATAGATAGTCAACGGTTGTCCAGTCCTTTCAAGCTCTCCTTCATCTCTTTCATGCACGTCATTCTTGATCCGATCGGCCCTTCTAGCACTACGATAAACTTCATCCCACGTTCCCCGACTTTGATCTGTTCTGTCCTTCAACTGTATCAAAGATTAGGGAGAGAACCTTGAAGAAGTAAGAAGCTGCATATATTACATATTATGCAAAAGCCAGTAAGTTATCAAGCAAAAAATACCACCAAAACAGGCTCACCTCGTCATCTTCTCTCCGCTTCCTCACATAAGCGATCTGAAAAGATTTCTCTTCTTCCCAGATACCATAGAAGAAGTTTTCATTCGTCCCAACAGCAGGTACAGAGCCTTCATTCTGAGTTTGATTCCACTGCTGCTCAAACTCATCCAAGAATTTCATGATTCTTCTTGTTGCATTCAGTAACACTGAATCTCGAGATGCTTCAAAAAGAGTCCAGGACCATTCGGCTTTAAGGTTGGCAGGAATCTCCGAGACAGGCTCTACATTTGTAACTTCAGATGGAAATCTGAGAACACTTTCCAATAGTGAAGCGTATCCCTCAACGCTCTCTGAAACCATAAGGTTTTTTGCAGTATGTTTTCCAATTGCTGCTGCATTACTAGCTAGCAGTGACAATTTCCCATTCGAGATCACTTGCATCAGTATCTGGGATAGTACTCTGATATTCTCTCTGGGAAATATGTACCCATTAACTCTATCGTCAACCTGGAGAGTTTTCCAATTCCAGAAAGCACATTAATACAGAAACATCAAAAAGGTGAATGACTGAACGGCCAAGCATCTGGAGGCCTATAGGTCCTTAGTAGCGTTGACAAAGAATATTTACCATCAACATAGGCGTCTTGCAAATGAATTTGATACAGGAACTTGGAACAAAGTGGCCAACAAATATATTCCAAACCCCTGCCTATAAAAACTTTCTCATAGTGCAATAGTTTAACCTACCACAAACTTATGGGTGAAATTTTTTGTTTGCTCATATTGAGTGTGTTTGCCTAATAGATACTACACCACACCCTTAATAACTTACCATGAACCAATGGATTAATTTCTGTGTTTGCTTTTGAAGTTGTGCATGTTCTCCTATTATATAATCTACAGCATACTCTCTCAAACCATTTTCATCCTAACTGCATTTGTTCACCTTTGATATGCTTAAACCTACAAATGGACTTCTAGAAAGATATAACCCATATTGACTTTGATCAGGGTTTCCAACTCCAAACCAAATTTCCATCAGAATCAACAAGAAATTTGTTGACACGGCATACCGACAATAAGGAAGCAGCAACAGTCAAGTAAAGTAAACTTACTAAGGAAGATACTTACGTATTTCTTGATGATAGATATATCAGGAGCTACTATTGGCTTCTTCAAGCACATGGCTCTTAACAATATGTTTGGAAATGAAGGCTCCTCGTGGAAGGATGAATAAATCACAAGGTCAGATGAACTCAGAATGTTGTCCAAATTTTCATCGAGAGCAATATGCGTCACCATGCCAGCCGGATAAGTCAAGTTTACAGCAATAGCCTGCAACAGGGTGGTTTTGGCATGGATACATTAACAAGGACCAAATCCACCAAAAAGATAACCAAGATGTAAAACACATACTATAATAATGCCTGTCAAATTTGATATCCAACAGTAGGGTTGAGGGTGTTTAAAGAAAGAGTCCATCATTTTACCTCCAAAGCCACACTGTAGTTACTATTTGAATCCCCAGCTAAGACAATGATTTTGAGCCTAGTATCTGTAATGCCATCACCTTCAAAGTGCTCAAGAACTGGTAGTAAAGCCTTTAAAACAAGGGCATGTTCCAGCCAAAGACCTCGGTAGAGAAGTTGACTTCCCACGATCACAATATTGAAATTCTTGGGTTCACTTTCTACCTTCACACGCACAACGTTTTTGGGTGTAGCCAATATATTACCAGCTTCCCATGCTTCTGCAGGAGAGCCCGGAATCACAAAGTAGTTTCCAGTGTCACATGCCGAATAAATCATCTACAAGAACAACCCAAAAGAAAACTAATTGGAGTTTAAACGAGTACAAAATTCCAGTATAAGGAATATTTTCATTTCAATTGTTCTAATTTTTTTCCTTTTAACATATGACAATCCTAGGTCAGAAAAGTTATTCTCTTGTTCTCTACTTCCCAAAAGGTGACTAAAAATCCCTACTGATTTCAACTTTTAATATACCAAACCAAATAGAACTTTTTTGGGGGGTTAATAGATTGTTCTTTTATTGGAAAAGAATCCACTAAAGATTGTTGAGAGCGAAGTAAAACAATGGGTACATTAGTTACACACACAAAATATATACGTTATGACCGGTTTCAATCAGCTTATGTGGTATTGCTCTATCCAGAGAGCAAACATATATTTTAAAAAGCATAGCATCAATTGTATGTATCTTTTTACATTATATAATAAAGATTTTTTTATACCATTTAATACATTTCTGTTATGAAACCAACATTTAGGAACCTAAACATGAAAATATTTAACTTCTGGATCACGGTAGAGAGAGATACCGGCAGAATGTAGTTATGGAAGACAACCACAGTGGCACGACTAAAGACTTTTTTCCAATTTTCCACGATGTCACTCTGGCCATTCTGAGCATGGAGCCTCATTCGAGCAGCAAGTTCTTGTTCGTGGATGGTCCATATCAGCGGTACGCTTTTAAAAGGTTCCATCATCAAACTGAAACAAGTAAAATAACAATTCACTTCCGGAGATGATAGTAAGCAGTACATATTAGAGCAGCAAATCACTGGGGAAAAAATTGTAATCTTTTCATCGCAATTGTTAACTGAAAAGTGTCCTCTTCGAACTTTTCAGACTCAAGAGTTTCCTCATCGCCATGTGATTAGAGCTTATAGTTATTCAACAACATAATAGTTTGCATGCCAAGAATCCATTACTGTAGGATCAATATTAGAGCAGTGAATCACTGGGGAAAAAATTGTAATCTTTTCATTGCAATTGTTAACTGAAAGATGTACTCGTAAATTTTGAACATTTCAGACTCAAGAATTTCCTCATCGTCACGTGATTACAGCTTATAGTTATTCAACAACATAATGGTTTGCATGCCAAGAATCCATTACTGTAGGATCTATGTCCTGAACGAAAATGTGCAACACATAAACAATTCCCCCAACACTAAAAGCCAATTAATAAAAAATTCCAGCTAGGCAGAGGAAATATGAGAAAGAAACTTAAATATAAATTAGAACCCATGCCCTTGGAATCTCAGAGATAATTTTAACAAAGCTTCAGCAGCCAGGGATGGTATTTCAGGAACATAATTTTAATAGAAACATGATATTTCAAACTGACAAGTAAGTGATTCAATTATATGGTAAGACATCACCAAAAGATGGTTTCCATTATTGATGGCACTTTAACCTGATAAAAATCTGCTTTCAAGAATATGAATCTTACCGAGAAATAACTGCTGCAGATTCAAGAGAGTTCACCAGTACGCCTTCATAACTGTGACAGAAGGCAAAATTTTCAGGGGTGCAACACTGAGCTTCGTTGCATAAGATTGTATAATTAAAATTCAGTCAGTTAAAACTAATATAATTGAAAATGAGAAAATGTTAGGAACTAAAATTATAGATGATTATTGTCCCAAACATATAGGATCAATTCAAAGCTTCACGCATAAAACATAACCACATTGAAACCAACGGGGCATGGAAAATACTTTAATGTCTAACAGAGGGAAATCATATCTAATCAACAATTATAAATTTGAATCCTTGTGTAAGTTCTTCAGCAACATTGGGTAATAGAGAGAGTAAGAACTCGTACTTTAACCAATCTATCGCGATCTGTTTGTTATCATGAGATTCCATGAGATGAAGTGGAAATCCAGAGCCTCTCCAAGTTGCATTTGCTGGACCATCTTTAAGGGAAAGTACCTGCAGAATATCAAGAGCAAACACCACAAATTGTTCATTTGGAATTCCCAATAAATGCGCCTGAAAATTAGAAAATCACCAAGCAAGGCTGAAACCATAAAAGATACATAGTTTTATAACAAATGAATGGATCTTCAAAATGTTTAGGACTTCTACTTGAAGGTTTTTACGAGACACCTTTGGTCAATAGGATTCTAAAATAGAGGATAAAGCCAGTAGACAGGCAAAATCCTAATCTGGCCTATATTTTCCATCATTTGATCACTTTCTTTGGTTCATTCTTTCACAGCTCCCCCAAAAAAAAAAAAAAGAAAAGGTGAGACTTTCGAATAAAGTGAAAGCTTTTAAAATTACTGTTTCTGTAAAATAGCACTGAATAGAAAGAATATCACCACTAAGAGTTTTGAAACATGAAAAGCACATTGAGTTACATTCCCTACTGGATATCAGAATGGCATTTTGTGAGTGTAACTGACACCACATTTAACTGAGGTTTATACTACCCAACACTTACGGAGAGCTGGATAAGAGCTGAAAAGTATCGGACACCCAATTTTCTAAACGAAAACATCTAGATGAACAAGTACAACACTGTAAGAAGAACAAGCAATTTAGTTGCTATCACATTGTTGTATTCAAGAGTCCCAGTTAGCTATTATTCACCAAGAACAGATTCACAAAGTGATCCAGTTGAATGAAACCAATTATCTTTCCTTAACAAAAACCAAAAAGAATCAGAAATGCCAATCAAAAATCATGACCAAAATCACCTCAATTTCATATCCTATCTTCCTCAGAGCAATTGAAATAGTAGCCATTTGTATTTGATAAGCATCAACCAACAGATCAGCAAATACCTACATGTAGAAGAAATTTAGTCAATGGAGCTGGAAATTTAAAAAAAAAAAACAAAAAAAAAAACAAGATACATCAACTGTACTTCTAAAAGACGGAACTATTGATAAAAACAATTATGAAACTACAGATAACAAACAGAAGAAACAAATCTATATAAGCTAAAGCGAACTAAAACTGAAATCGACACCAGTAATGTAGTTAAGTGAAGAGGATAACAACTGTCTCACCATAGCAATCTTAGGTTTCCTGTGGCCCAGTCTCAAAACATTCCCATTCACTTTTATTGCATCATCACCACGAAACTTGGCTAAAAGTTTGGATGGTTCAAATTTGATATCTTCACCAAAATCCAACCCAGCAAACTCCCTCACCACAACCAAATCTCCAGCCACCTCATTATTATTATTATCCATTTTCTTCAAGAAATCGCCAGATTTATCCATAATTGAGCCAGGCAAGAGCATCTGAAACAGCACGAGGAAGAAGAGAAACACAGCCACCATACAAATCCATATTGGATAATCAAACTTCTTGAGAAAAACCAGCCTGGCTAATCTTGATCTAAGTTGCTGCCTTAGACTTTGACTGCTGCCACTGAAGAAGCTCCTGCCACTTCCAGATGATGATGAACGAAGCAAATGGTGATGATCCCTTTTCAATGAAAATCCATTCTCAAGAGAACCCATTATTGTTCACAATCCCATCAACTTAAAAAACGAAAAATCAAAGTTTCCTTACTTTCACTCCTTCCATTATGGAGAAAAAAAAAAAAGAACCAGGAAAGAACATGCGATTCCCCTGTTTTAGTAGGGATTACTTAAAATCCACTTTGAAGAGGAGGAACCCACATGAAATCTAATCCGCTCGAGCTTAATCTCAAATACCCACCGGGAAAATTCAACTTTTTTGAAAACCCACCAAGCAAAAAACACCCGACGATAAAGGTGGACAACAAAAAGAAAAACAAAATAAAAGAGAAAAAAGAAAGCTTTTTTTAAGGTGCCTTCGCAGAGATGGGTATTTCTTCTTTTTTTTCTGCTAATTATTACTGCTTCTATTACTCCAAACTTAATAATAATTAATACTTGGGATGATAATGGAACAAGTGGGGATTGATTAGAGTAGAGTGTATAGCAGAGTTTGTCTGTTTCTTGCACCATTAAATAAATCAAAGATGATTCCTTTGGCTTGCTATTGTAACAATTCCTCCCCTTTTTCTTATCCCTTATTTTCACTGAATGAAATAGACAGCTCAATAGTCCATAAATATTCGGTACTGATGAAAAAGAAAACAGAGTGAAAACACAGCTAAAATTAAGGAGAAAATCGTGGGGATAATTTTTTTTTTTCTTATCTAGTAGAAAGGAAAAATAAAAATAAAATAACAAGGAAGAAGGAGCTGATGAAGTGGCATTGGTCGTCGTCATTCTGGGTCAACGTCATCAAACCATGGTGACTAAAGCAAACTAATATTAATGACGACAGCTAAATTTGGGAGGGGAATTAAGAGAATCTTAATTATAAGTATTTCAATGGTTTCTTTTTCGTGTGAAGAGTGAAGAGTAGTTTGGTTACGTCAACTTTTATTTTTTAGGATATGAATTTGGTTATTTTGGAATAAAATTTGATGCTATAATAATAACAAATGTTTCAATGGTAGTATGAATGAATGTGAAAAAGAGTTTATTTGGGTGAAGAAAAAGATTACGTGTAGACTCTAGTAATTCAAGAGGTTAAAAATCTTTTCTCTAATTTCGTGTTTTAATGATATCGTGTTCATACTGAAAAAGATGCTAGTGATCAAATATTTTTTGTTTATTAAAAAAGAAGAGTTCTATTTTATTTCCTTCGATGAATTTTTCATGAGCAATAATAACATTTTTATTATATATTTGGTAGTACATGATATAAATTTTAGAAGACAAAGTCCCGTTGATGGAAGATGAGCTCAATGAAAGGTTTCCAACAGTGGACTTTACTTAACCCATTGCGATTATGCTAAATGATTTCACAAAATTATAAAAAAAAATTAAAAGATTAAAATAAGATAAATACTCCATCCGTCTTATTTTAGCAATTAAACTACTAACTTGAACCAAAATAGCATATACGAAATAGGCTATCTCAGAATGGGGCGAAGTTTATAAATACCATTATCGCTCCTGTCCTTATTATAAGACATTTTAATTTCGTTATAGATTTCACTTAAGATGTCTTTTTAATTCGAATAAAAATCTTAAAAACATTTTATAATAATTCAGAAAACACAACGAATGTGAACATATATTTTTAAGATTTTTTTTCTAATTAAAAAAATATCCTAGGTGAAACCTAAAGCGAAATCAAAATGTCTTATAATAAAGACCGGAAGAGTATTATCCAACCCAACTTTTTTTATTTCTTTTTTTTTAAGAAAAAAAACATCCAACCCAACTAAATGAATGTTATAGCTAAACAATATAGGCTAATAAATAAATAAGGGATGTTTATTACCAGTAGTATATCACTAGAATAATCCGATGTTCTTTATTTGACCTCTTAATAACAACCAACTAAATGGTGATTATTACCTCATTAATCACAGATTGGTTGGGATTCCACAAGAGAGTGGTTTGGTTGATTAATTGCATTGGATCAATGTAGACCATGACTTGGAAATGGTTGATTAATTGCATTGGATCAATGTAGACCATGACTTGGAACAAATGTTTGATACCTTGCACCACAAAATAAATGTCATTATTTCCCTTGTTTGTCACGGGAGAATCGTAACAATTCATTTAAATCACATGATAAGATCATTTCTCTTGTCTGATGCCCCCTCCCTCTCTTTTATGGGTTCTTGCATCCCACTGAAATGTGTTAAAAAAGGTGAACGGACAAATAATGATTCTTCTTTATATCTCGCTAGTTGTAGTACTACTATAACAGTTATATTTTATGATTTATACTAAAAATAATATAAATCACAAATTATGATGTGAATTATTTTTTTCAGACAGGGAAAGTTTTATTTTAACTCAACAAATATAATTATTATTTTACAATGAAAGAGATCTAACTGAAGAGTACCTCCACTTTTTTTTTTCTCGTGTTAGTGTGAATTAAAAAAAGGTTTTAACTTTTATTTTTTCATTTCCAGTAAAACATTAGAAACAAAATTTCCAATTGAACATCTATCTCTTTTTGCTTTTAATAACATAATATTAATGAGAATTACTCATTTTTAATTTCAATTTGTAATTTTTTCGTAGTCTCAATACTTTTAATTCGGAACAACGAATGTATGACACTTAAAAATTAAATGTTCAATCATTATTTTCTTAATACATATACCAGATAAAAAGAATGGAGGTAATAAATATTATTATGAAGTTTATTTATTTATTATTTGGAATGATAAATCAAATAAACAAAATTTGAGATATTTAGGTATCTAACAATCATCTTTAACATTTCGTTTTATTTATTTTGAAATTTCCGAAGTACTGATAAGGGGAGAAATTTATTATTAATCTATGGCTTTCAATTTGCAGACGAAACAAACTCCAGATAAATGAATAAAATAAAGAACAAATTCTATCCACCAAGCGTTTGTAGTCCAACGGTTAGGATAATTGCCTTCCAAGCAATAGACCCGGGTTCGACTCCCGGCAAACGCATACTAGAATTTTTTTTTTCCCCCTTTTTTGGGCTTTCTGATGGAAATCATCATCGTCGTCGTCTAATGTTGTTGTTGTCGTTGTTTGTGTCAATTTCATTTTTATCAAGAGTGGCCATCCTGTTATCCTTCATTACTACTCGCCACATGAAGCAAGGCAGTTGAAACTTCATATGCAGTTACCCATACTATTATGCTCAATGATGAAAACGATGCTGTTGAAAAAGGGATTGATTCTGATGAAGACCGGCTTTGATAGTGATGAAGGGGGTGATGATGGTGAATGGGGGCTTAAGGTCGGGTTATTCGGGAGCTTTTTAATTGTTTGGATACCTTACATTATACATATACTACTTGGCTGTTGTTTAAGGGTAGTTGCTGATGAGAGTTTTCCATGTGTTTGATCAAAATTACATCCTGACTTTGAGTAGATAATTTGTTTTGATAGTCTACTTATTCTGTGTTTTTTTTTTTTTTTGGCTCTGTTTACTGCATCCTGGAGTTTTTCCTACCACCATTAGAGCATCTGTAACGTGTAGCAAATCCACCATTTTGCTGAAAGGGGCCTCCAACGGCGCACCAAATCAGTAAATCCAAGCAGCAAAATGCTGTAGCTACTACAGTAGCGCGTCTAATTTGTTGCGCTACTGTAGCAGCAGCAAGTTCTCCCCCTCCCTCCCTCCTTTTTGCTACTTTTAAATTGATTTTTAAGCCCCTACAATTATATTTTTTTGTCATTATTAATGGACTTGAAATTGTAAAAAATGAATAATCTTAATTAAATTTATTGTATTATTCAAGAGCTCTAATATTATTAAATTATTATAAGTAAACTAGCCTTGTTCCGTCGCGCGTTCCAATGCATATATTAATTTGATTGCTATTTTTCTTTAAAATAATTTGTAATATATTGTTATTGTTCTACTTAATTTGAGTAGTGTATCAAGCAAATCACCTAGAACTTAAAAAGTTTTAAAAATGTTCAGAATTTCTTTACTTTGAACATTCTTCTTATTCATGAACCCTTCAAGAAATTCGGTTGATCGATTTGATATTACGGCCTTGAATTTTATTGCTAATTCAGGTACTATTGCTTGTAAATCAAAACTGAGAATGAATAATATTAATGAACAGTATACTACAAGATGATCATAACAAAGATGAGATCCAAACCAAAATCTTGTATTTCATAGCAAGAAAGCAATTCAAGATTGATACTATTGCTAGGACCGCTTTTCTTCTGAGCGAAATTGGTGAAAAGATTTTGAACTTAAACCATATAAGATGAGAAACGACTGCTACAAGTTTATTATAAAGAGAGTGAGATATACCAAATATGAGCCTATCAAGGACCGTAAAACCAATGTTTCCATCTTGTATTCTAAATTAAAGTCCAAAATATCTTATCAGATCCTGGACCAGCAAATTACTCTAGTTAGACATCGAAAGCAAATGTAGCTTGAGGACTAATTCCTTCAAAGCTAGTAGCTTTTTTAAACTTGAATAATTTGTAGTATCCGGAAGACTTTGGTTGAATTTTTCCATGAGCTTCTATATTATCCTTTAGGCTTCGTAGCAAGAATTAAATTATCAGTAGCAGCCTCAGCTTTAGGGAACTCCTCTGCACATAATGAGAAAATTAAACTCAGACCATTCATTCACTTAAACAACTAAATTCTAAAGAGAACATACATGTTCAGCTTCAATTCTTAGTTTTTAACAAAAAATTCATTCCAAAATGATAACTGATTGTAGTCTTTACTTCTTACATAGCTGCATTTTTATCCACCTTAGCTTTCAATACCTACAGCACTATGATGGTACAAGTATTCTCAAGATTTGTACAAAATTAAGCTCTGACTACTTGAATTGTCAATTTTGGCATCCCAGACCTTAAAGGACTACACCAACTTCCATTAAATACTTCCACTTTGAGCTAACTAGTGAAGATCATATGCAATTTAGATAATTGGTTAACAAAATAATTAATTAAGGAAAGGCTGCCACAGTAGTTACCACAGTAATTTTTTGGAGCCTCTCTGCAGTTTCTGTGACCTAGCAGCAGATAATAACATCATGAAAGTTGGAAAAAATATGCAGTGCAAAAGGAGGAACATTCAGAAAGGATATGCAAACCTTTTCTATATACTGGCGTTTGTAGGCATTACCGCAAGGATTTTCAGGATTAATAATGACCGATCCAATGGTGCTATTAGCAAAAGCTTCAACAGTGTCAAGATTGACCTCCCAGACGTTATGAGGCAGCAGATCATAATAATGAGTCTTAATGTTTCTAAAGCTGGCACAAAGTCCATAAATTGGGAAACCTGATCTTGGTAGAAGAACATTAGCCCCGGGGCGCGCCGAAATGGATATCACCATTTCAATAGCTTGCAAACATCAAGCTGTCACAAAAACATCATCAGGCGATAATTTGTATGGAAGATCCCTGGACAACTATTCTGCAATTTTCCTGCATGAAAAGACAGCTGAGGTAAGATTTGAGATGAAACGCAACTTTTGAATTGAGATATTGAAACTTTATATGGAACAACTGCATATGACAGAAAACTGACCAATATTAATTACCATCTTAGTTTTTCCTACACTAATATATTATTCTGCACTTTGAAGAACTATCTGAAATCCAAAACCCTCTATCCTCGTGTACATAGAAACTTCATGTC